TTTCCCTCATCCTTCTTAGGTTTGCCAAGTTTTATCAAAACCCCAGAGGACCAGACAGGCATCTCGGGGGGAGTTGCATCATTTGTGTGCCAGGCCAGTGGGGAGCCCAAACCCAGGATCACCTGGATGAAGAAAGGCAAGAAAGTCAGCTCCCAGCGCTTTGAGGTGAGCATTCATGCGTGACTCAGAAATCCCTGAACCCCTTCGGTGCACACCCACATCCACTACAGTAAATTCAGACGGGCACAAACACAACTCACACGACAGACCAGTGCACACACACGTGCTTCAGACGGCCTCTGGAACGCTCTCTCATTAAGGCCTGGTCCTCACTTTCATCTCCACATGCTGTGTGTTTGTGTGTGTGGCGCTGCGTTCCCTCATGGAACACAATCAATTGCCCTGTTATTGAGCATCACACCATCTCTCCTCTTTTCCAAGCAGGACCAGACAAGCTCGCCTTCCCTGTAATCTCCTCCCATCCTGATTTATAAAGTCTGCTTCATCTTTTTTTTAATCTTTTCACAACCGTATTCCTCCGCCCCCCGCCACTCCTCCACTCTTTCAACAAATGCATCCTCTTGATGCATCTCTTTAGTCCCACAGGAGGAGAATGGAGAACTTTGTTGGGGACTTTCACACTGTTTAAACCTAAACTGTAACTATGGAGGACGACCTCTGGCACCTGTTGCTTTAAGCCTCGTTTATCATTAAAACAACATAAAACACATAGACATTTTCAGTCATCTGTCTGTTGTAAACACTGTCAGTGACTGTTATCTATATATAGTCTGTATATTCCACTGCTTTAATGTGAAATTATATTTAGAAAAACTCAAGTCCAAGGCCTGAAATACTGGGAAATGTTGTGTTCCCCCAGAGGACAGCCAGCAGACACACAGAGTGCCGGTAAAGAAATAAAACCTCTTCAAAATATCGTTTCCCCTTTCCCTGTTTTGCTCCGGTTCTCCTAGGTGATTGAGTTTGATGATGGTTCGGGCTCCGTGCTGCGCATCCAACCGCTGCGCACACACCGAGATGAAGCCATTTACGAGTGCACCGCTACCAACAGCGCTGGTGAGATCAACACCAGCGCTAAGCTTACAGTGCTTGAAGGTAAGATAAGTTTTTTTTTCTCTCTACACGGTTTCTTATTTCACCTCACTTTGTGTGTGAGCGAGACTTGGTTCTGCCTGGTGGTGGTGCTGCTTTCCCCTGTTTTTATTCTCTTACTTACAAAACAATATCAATGTTTGCAGTAATACTACAGAACTACTGAAAGTATCAGTGTTATTTACAGTGAGTAATGTGCCTTTTGTGAAAGTATCAGTGTTATTTACAGTGACTGTATCTAAGTGGAATATTTGAAAAGAGTCTTTGGTTTGTTTCAGTCCTCTGTTGAAGCCCAAACACTTCAGGAAGTAGTGACGGTTCCTTCTTTGTAGAATTCAAGTTCTCTTGAAACTAAATTTTAAAAAACTCGACCAAATAAAACAGAATAGCTCGACTCTCGTCAAAGTTGAGAGACATGTTTTACTTATTAAAGTCTGACATCTTCTGAATTCCTTCCTGGAGTTTTTAAACGTTAACCGAAATTATAATTCAAGCAAAAGAAGACGACGTAAACACACGTCTCTAATTTATTATAATTTTTTTTTAAAAGTAATTTGATGTCATTCGAAACGCTCCAGTAAAAATATGTCTCAGCAGCAGGAGAAGTGACGCCGTGGTAATTATACCTCGGTCGAAGCTGGTACTGTAATAATACATCCATCCATTTCTGATTTGATGACATGATATCTGTGATTGGTCTTAAACAAACCTTTCATTTGGTGTTGCGTCACATAGAACAGTATAAACATAAACATGACAGCTCAGAATTTGGTGAAAATCTTTTTTTTTTTGCCTCAAAGCATTTAAAGTTTGTAACCAACAACAGCCAATACATACAAAAACAAACTATTAGCCTGACACGTCCACACGCAAATACATGCACGATGAACACTTTTTTTAAACGCCCGTTATTTCTTCATCCCTCTGAACGGTGCGTGAATCAGAATTCTCCATGACGCACAGACGTGACAAACACATCGGTTCCCAAAAACAGCAGTCAACCAACAAGTCGGAGCAGGTTGGCTCCACCGTACCTGCTCAGGGGTGACATGGCAGACAGCCAAAGTAAATGAGTCACCGTCGAGGCTGACGTCTTTTTTAATCTTTGTCGAGACAAAGGGAAAGAAGATACAGTATACGACTCCCCACCGAGCTAATGCTAAGGCAAACAAACCTCCACCGTGATAATGATAACCCAGCCAGCCTGTCCCACACTCTTTTCTGTCTGACATTTTCCTGCAGTCATTTTTGTTTGGATCGTTCGGTTCCTCCACTCTCTAATCCCTTCTTTCTCACCTGCGTTCTAACGACATCTGTTGGGAAACAGAACCTCACGTCGAACCCGTTTCATACATCAGCCTCATTCCTCTGCCTTAGAAGGCACTGGAACTGGGATGTGTTCTTATTATAACATTTTTACTGGCACAAACACACCCGGTACGCACACCGACTACGGCAGGCGCTGTTGTTGGCCCCGCTCTATTTTTAGACTATTGTTTGTAACCCCACAATATATCAAGTTCACATCAGCAGTGCTGTGAAAGAAAACGCTGGGGCAGCACCCACCAGCCTGAGACTAATGATGCTCCTCCTAATGGGCCTGTGATAGCCTGAGGGGCTGAAGAAGTGTCACATCACAATATAAACCGGTGCAGACCAGTGAAAAACCACCCTGGTACGGAGACAATCTCTGTGTGTTGTTCATTCATAACATGAAGGCACCTTGAATACGTACAACAACATGTAAAAAAAAAACAAAACATTATAGCAGAAGGAAGAAATGGATTACAGGTACAGGAGTTTTGTTTATTTTTAAATACTGGTTCTGTCAGTTATAGAATACAGAGGTTGAAACTGGTTGAATCTGACACATCTAGGAATGTACAGTGGCTGCATTACACAGCTGTGATTCATTTTTTAATCCAATTTACCACACGCAGTTGTATTTTGTCTGAACTGCCAACTCCAATGATTCTCGTTAAGGAAATATTTTAAAAAGGAAATGAAAAAAAAGGAAATGTTACTGTGATATTTATCAAATATTATACTTAGAATGTATTTCTGGTTCTTATGCTGATGATGTGGTGTTGTTGACTGACGTTAGCTGACTGTAGCGCGGCTCAGTGGTGTGGAGCTGCTCAAACATTGTTTTTTTTTTTTCATATCAACTGAAGCTGAGTTTTAACTCGGTGGTCATGTGTTTCAGTCACTTTGTAATTCTGTCACGCTGTAACAGCCGCACTCTTTGTTCGTACTGGTTCTCACGCCCCCCCTGCCCAATAGGTCACTCCTCTGAGACGGGTGAACAACCTCAAGTCAGCTCTGCACTTCTGTGTGAGTGTGTGTGTGTGTGTGTTTGCACCACCAGTCAATCTGAGGATTCATTACTTTTTAATGTTGGAATAATAATAACTACTCACTCTCTCTGCTTCTCTGCGTAGAGAGAGAAAAAGAGAGGGGGCGGGGGTCAGCAGAGAGCACTGCTCTCACCTGTGTGTCTGAATGATGACGTTTTAGCTGAGGCTGAAACCTCAGAGCAGCAGTGGTGAAGAAATATGGCCGTAGCTTCCCTCTCAGACTATTTTCCCTCTGCTCTGTGGTCCAACCGCGTGCGCGGCTCTTTGTGTCCGTTCCCTTTGTGTCGCTGTCATTTTGGTAAACACAGAAGGCAGCCTCGCGGTTCTACGACATTGTAAAGCAGCGTAGAGAGATGACCGGAGGGAACAATGACTCATTACTTGGGTAACAATGCCGGTGTTCTGACCTTGAGCGGCCCTGCTGAATTGAACTGCCTCAGTAAATGTCCAGGTAAATGGTGCTTGTCTCAGTGATGTATGAAATTAACTGATACCGACCAGGACCGAGACATCTCCGCTCACAGCATCACTCCTACAGGCCGTCTCCTGCCACTTCTCCAAGTCAAGGCTTTAGTTCATATTTCCATCCGTGTAAAATGTTAAATATAAATAACAGAGCGGGTGTTACGGTGAAGATGGAGTCACAGGACTGTGTGCTGCAGTGGGCGATGGTACAGATGTGAACGACACTGATTAATGTCAAATGGTTGAATATTGATATTAATCAAAAAATAATGATGTGTTCAGATTTCATAGTTTTAGTCTTTAAACAACAGGGAACAAAGTCTGTAATATTAGGTAAAAAAAAACATATTTATTGAGGTTACGTGTCACAGATGACACCCAACGAAAACCGATGGGATTCAATTTCCCTTTTTTGTCACTGTTGTCAGAGCAAATGTTAACGGCTGCTGATGTTGTATTTTTTTAAATCAACTACAGTAGATGACCATGGAGATTAAGGCAGAAGTGTAAACACTTTGGTATCTCATCGCTTCACTATAATTCCTAGTATTTACTAAGATATTAGAAGGTCAAAAAGACATCTACGGAATAATGTTTGAAATTGTTTCAGAAGGTCAGACTTTAATAACATGCAGAAATACACTGTAAATCAAATAAGACGTTGACTTGGTTAAACACGTGCCGTCCTGCTCCTGGGTCTCCTGTAGGAGTCTCTTTTGTAGCTGTGCAGTAGGAAAGTACTCCCTGTTACCGCCTGATTTAAATCCACTGTCTCATTTACAGTAGTGGACTTGTGTTCCGTGGCAGTAAACAAATTACAGCCTCACAGTTCTGGAATGGTCCGTATTTGCTCGGCATACATTACAGGCTCCCGTGCGAACGCAGAAATGACTGCGACACAATGCCAGTAATAAATATCTCAGGAGCCAGGCGAGTGCAGACAACAAACCTGACTGGATAAACAAGGTAGAAATCTCACTGCTCCCCTTCCCGGGAAAGATAAGTAGTCAAGCTACTGTAGGTGGGAATGATTTAATAGCAGGCTGTGCTCCCCGACAACTTAATCCTCTCCTTTTCCTTTGCACTATTCAAATCATTCACAATGACCCAAAATAAGGTGTTGTGTAACTGTTATTACCCTCACACTACTCTTTCACTCCTTTCTCTCCTTGAATGCAGCACATTCCCATAACCTTCATGTTATCATTTTAATAGCTCTTCCCTTTAGCTTTTTTATTTATTTTTATATAGTTTTTTTTCTGTTTTTTTTTTTAAAGAAGGCAGGTGTTCAGGTTATATTTAACAGCAGATACTGTAGGTTGTTGACTGTGTCAACTGTTTGGGCCTCATTCTGGAGGAACAGGTTTGGTTTCTGGTTCAAAGCTGAGCTGTTTGTCTCAAAACAGACGGAAGGAATGAAGTGGAGCAGAACACACAGGTACCCCACACCAATACAGACGTGGGTTTAAACACACACACGTCCACACAGGTCTACAGGTGTGCCAACCCCCCCACACACGTCCACAGCATTATTTTTTCAAGCTCCACTGTGCAGGTCTGTGTCACAGATTTAATTTTTCCCACCATCTGCTGGCTGGAGGCCCAGCTTCATAGATCATACCCAGGCTGACGGATACAAACTGCATCTGTCTCTGCAGGCCTCTGTCAAGGACTCGCCCAGTACAGCACGGTCAGATCGCCGCGTGGGCCAGCCAATCTGCATCCACACATTTTTATTTCCAAGGGCAGGCATTATATGGTGAACAAATAGATTTGGCCGAGGTCACGGCCTTATATTTAACATTTTATACTTTCTGAGAACTGATAGAGAAAAGTGAGAGAAAACATGACCAGAATCCTTTCTTTTCCTGAAAAGTCCTTCAAATATAATTGAAGTGCAAAAAGGAAATAAAAGGATTTATATACACATGTTCTTCTCCTACATCAGCGGAGGCCAAATGTTTTCAGCAGCCCCCGCTTTTATAGATCTTGCTCCTAAACTTCATTAAAGTCTATTTTAAATTTTTTCTTTGTTAGCCTGTGGCCCCTACATTTAAAATCTTAAGTTTGAATTTACTAGAGTCAATGTTTCTTGTGCCCCCTACATTTACAATCTTAAGTTTGAATTTACTAGAGTCACACCCACAAACGTATCATATTTCTTGATTTACTCGCTATCAG